CTACGTTTATTAGGTTTATTATTATAACGTAACTAGCGACTTAATACGTAGGTAGTAGGTACGTTTTAACGGTTAGTATAGATTTCTCAGAGATGAGATATTTTGCCGCAGTAAAAAGTATCCTATAAGTGGACCCGGATAACGAGCTATCATCATACCAAATTTCACCAAAATCTGTCCAGTGGACTTCTCGTGATGAGTTCCCAGACAGACAGCCAGACAAAAATTCTAAAAGCTTATAGATTCGGCCTCTGTATCGATAAAATAATGATTATTTCAATAAGATTTTCCAAAAAATATTTAATGTAATTCAACTTAGACTTTTATTATATATGAACAGATTGTTAAAGAATATTTCTTTCTTTTATCTTTCACTAAAAAAAAATGAACACATTAAAAGATTGATATGATTATGTTAAATAGAATTTAGCCATAAAACTAAGACAAACAAACTAAAAGTTCCAAACGGAACGACCTAAATATAGCCGTATAACCTACATTACAATACGAAATGTTCCGCAGATGGCACCTTGTCGCAATAAAGGGCCGTTGCCGTTACGATCATCAGAGAAATGAAGCAGTCGGTAGTTTGGTTAGACAAGGTTGCAAGTGTCGCGGCCGGGCGGTTTTTTGTTTTGCTTTTGCGAGGCGGCTGGAAATGCAACGAACATACGTATAAGTCGACTATAATTTTGTATTATTGTTCTTGGGAAAGGTTTCCAGCTTTCTGTTACGCCGTCTGAGCGTTAGTTATTTTTGTAAAACAATTTAACAAAGTATTATACATATATTCTTATCGACGTACTACCATTTTTATTGATATGTTGCTAGTTTTTTAAATCTAAAATAACACGAGGTGATCTTTAAAGTAAATGAAAATAATCAATCAATACTACTTCTACCTCACTATATCTAGTATACTTAACACGTTTAAAAAAATCTTTTTAATGAGCGCGTGTCTAAAAATATTTTATGTAGTGGGTTGCGATTTAAAATATATTTTTGAGTTTAAATAACATATGTACATGAAAAACTTACAATATTTATTTTCAATCTGTGGTTTTGTATAAAATCTATTATTTTCCACGAAATGCCATCAAAACCCGTCTAGTAATATTTAAGTTATCAACATGTAAAGTCAATATAGTCGGATAGGATAGATCGTAGTGTGCATACATCACGACGGGGCCTGGGACGGGGCAATCACCGGAATGCAATTTCTATATCGCAAGCGTCTCATTAAAAAGCGGGGGACGTGTGCTAGTTGTTATGTCGGGATTGCGGGACAAATCGGGACTCGGTGTTTTTGTTACGTGCCATCAACTATTGATGAAACTTATTGACTTTAGTGAGATTACATAAATATATGTATATTATGTATTATACAGATGTTATAACTTCTTATAACTTACCTATTGTAAGATAGGTACTAGCGGCCCAAAGAACAAAAACAAATCTATCCCATGGGAACCATACATTTTTCCGGGATAAGAAGTAGCCTATGTGCTATTCCAGATTATAATCTATCTCTGTGCCAAATTTCATCTAGATCCGTTTACCCATTCTTACGTGATTGAGTAACAAACATCCACCCAAACATCTAAACTTTCACATTTATAATTTTAGTATAGATTACACGTGTTTATTTATGGTTTAAAAATAAAGTTGACTGTCTAGTGGTCGCGACTTCGAGTCCGGCTCGGGGTATTATTTATTATAGGAGTATATCTTTGTCGCGGTGTAAGTGTATGTATGTTCGTATGTTTTGTGTTTGGAGGAACCTTAAATATGAAGACCTAATAGGATCCGATAAGTGAGGAGTTATTTATAAAATATACTAGCTATTTAGCAATCGTGCTCATTTCAAATTATTAAGTTTTAAGCCATATGTAAATAGGGACTGTAAAGTTTCACAAACTAGGCGGGAAGACAATGGAATTGAATGTTTATGTGAAAATATCTTACACGTTATTTGTACATATGTAACATGATATTATGTAAATAAAAATCCTTTCTATTACTTAAATTTTAAACTTTTTTTTTAGGAAAAGGTGTTTTAATAGCATAGTCCAATAAGTCATTATAATCAAAATCTGTTTAACAACATCTGTTTAAGTAATATTACATACTAGCGATTTAGCCTCGATTCGCTCGGGTGCATCTCAAATTTTTCTTTTTATAAGTTTTGTTTTAATTTTTTTAGCGGAGTCCTAATCCTGTATCTATAACAAAAGTAGCCTAAGTTATATCATAATAACATCCGCTATCTGCCATAGAAAGTCCCGTCAAAATCAGTACAGCCGTTTCGGAGATTAGCCGGTACAAACAGACAGACAAAAAAATCAAAAATTTGTGTTAGTTAATAAATTACGTATATAATTTGATACGCATTCAGTAAAAAGCTATTATTTTGACATTACAAACAGACATCAATTTTATTTATTTGTATAGATGTACCTATTGTGTGAAAAAGTTTTATATAAATTATAGACTTAATAACGTCATTAATACATTCTGGCCGTACTGAGTGCATTTGCAACTATGAAACACCGAAAATATCTAAATGAGAATACGGACTTGTTTTCTTAACCACGTAACTATGCACCTGCTAAGTGAAACTCAGATACCACAAACTAAAATCTATACATATAATAAAATTCTAAGTTAAATCTGTACATTAAATATTTTTTGGGAAATCAAATTGAAATAGTCATTATTATCGATACAGAGTCCGAATCTATAGTTTTTAGAATTTTTGTCTGTCTGTCTGTCTTGCTGTCTGTCTGTCTGTCTGTTACCGCATCACGAGAAAACCACTGGACAGATTTTGATGAAATTTGGTATGATGATAGCTGGTAATCCAGGTCAACATATAGGCTACTTTTTATCGCGGGAAAATATCTCATTTCTGAGAAAAAATACAAAAACTGCATTGTATGAGTATTGATACATGTAAAACCTAAGAATTAGGTTTTTGGTCATCTGAACGCGGGCGGAGCCGCGGGCAATGCTAGTAGGTACGTTATATGACATGAAACATTCATAATTTTGAAATTAGCTCCGTCCTTCAAATAGAAGGTTCCGGGTTCGATTTCGCATGTACTTAATAGCATTAGATATGCTGAATTATAATTAATGTAAATGTAACACACGGTCTGATAATTGTTTAACAACATAATTAAAGTTTTAGTACCGTCGAGCTAAACTATTTTAAATTTTAGAGTGATTTTTATATTAGACTATAGACGATTTACCCTCGCTTCGTTTGAGTGCGTCCCTATAGCTGCCTAGGTACGTTTTAATTTTTTTGAACGGAATCCTAATTATTTTTCTAAAATAAAAGTAGCCTAAGTTACTCCTTATAACATCAGCTATCTGCCAGTGAAATTTCCGTCAAAATCGGTCTAACCGTTTCGGACATTAACCGGAACAAAAAGACAAATTTTTTAAAAATCGTGTTTTTCTTATACGTACCGTACATACATACTTTCATATGCATTTAGTAAAAAGTTGTTATTTTAATATTAGAAACAAACACTTCGATTTTATTTATCTCTATGTAGATATTATTGTTTGTGTTATATTATAATAGTGTATCTTTCAGTTGTTGTTTTCAATTTTCATAGTACTAATATTGCTAAGCGATTTGATGCGATATGGCACTGAGATAACTTTTTATCTCGAATAAGGATTCTAAAGGGAATAGAGTTAAAATCCTGTTTGTAAGCTACTTAATAGATTTACATGTACTTCCCTTGGTGTCTATCTCTTGATACTAAATTTAATATTTTTTATGTATTTTGAGAAAACAAAGGATTTCGATGGGGTACAGTTTATGTATACGTTTCGCGGTAAAATTACTTTTAATTTTTAACATATATACTACGTTACGTATCTTACAATATATAAATGACTAGCATTGCCCGCGGCTCCGCCCGCGTTCAGATGACCAAAAAGCAAATTCTTATATTTTACATATTAGTATACTCTTACATTGCAGTTTTTGTATTTTTTCTCAGAAATGAGACATTTTCCCGCGGTAAAAAGTATCCTATATGTTGACCCGGATAACCCGGATCCCTCCAGTGGTTTTTCTGTGATGTGGTAACAGACAGACAGACAAAACTTCTAAAAACTATAGATTCGGCCTCTGTATCGATATGAATGTCTATTTCAATAAGATTTTGTAAAAAATATTTAATTTACAGATTCGGCTTAGTTACAATTTTATTATTTGTATAGATTATGGGCATGCATAAACAAAACATGAAGCATTACATTCTACCTACATACTACTACTACATTCAAGTACTAAAACTGTTTTTTAATAGGTAAGTACCGATACCGACATATCGGCTTCAAAATTTCAAATACAATGTCTACGGAGTTTAATAGGTGAACTTTCGCTGCTCTGCCTACGTGACACAAATATTGAGTGCAAAAAGAAAAATGACAAGCAAGTGATTTGAGGGTAGAATCTAATAACATAACTTCTACAAGACACGTCATTAAAGCCAAGAAAATAACTCTCACAAAAGAATCTCCGGACAGGCATGCAATTAGTTTTTTTTTCGCAAATCCGGTGCACATTTCAAAAAATTAGTCTCAGATAAGGCAGCGTCGAAGGGCTTTGTCGGTATTTTTTACACACTCATGAGAAAAACTATAACATCCCTAAGGGTATCATTTTTTGTTCGTCGCTGCCTTTTAATTAGTAGTTCGTAGTTTTTTCACCGAACTCGGGCAAGCGTTAGCCGCAGTCTACAGGCGAGAAATTACACCGGGCGACCGCACCATGGGAAATCACACTGCACAATCATTTATTCATTTTACACGCTCTATTCGATTTTCTATTTACTAGCCTACGTTTTAAAGCTACGATCTACGATAATAACGGCTACGCAGTACTCGGCGCGAGCCGGCCGTTACAACGTACTCGTGAGTTGCGGGTAAACAAACAAAAACACGGCCGAGGAAGTCAGCGTGTCGGTGTTTGGTCAGCGATGTGATGTGATCGAACATAACCTAAAAGCGAGCCGGCGCGGCACGTGCGCCCTTATGTAAGGGTGGCGCAGGTCGCTCACGGCTCGGTCGAGGAGCCTACCTTGTCTGCCGACGATCTCTGCAACGTGCTCGGAGGAAGGCACCGGCACGCACTCCGTCATGTTTTGTGATTTCTTGGCGCGATCGTCGGGCGGCGGCGCGAAACCGAGCGGGCTGGACAGGGGGTTCGTTGCCGGCAGGCTCTCCCCAAAGTTTAGCATGCTGAGCTCTAGCGCGAGCTGGAAGGCGCGCTGGTCTTCCACCAGGCCCCCACCGCCCAGCTCTCCGAACAAACTCGACGGCATCTCCACCTGGGACGCAATCTTGGCGGCTGAGAGAGGTTTCCCTCTCGAATCACTGGTCAAAAATCGGGGTAGCGATCGTTTCGAGCGCCGCGTACTCGTAACGCTACGCACGTGTGATATAGTCGCGACGCGGCGGTGAACTGAGTTGCCGGCCGGCGGGCGCACGCGCCTCGGCGGCGGTCGGCCGGGGCGGGGGGTGCGGGCGGAAGGCGTGTGGGGCGCGCGGGGGGCGGGGGTGGCTCGCGGGGGGCGGGGGAGGGGGCGCAGGGTGGCGCTGCACCGGGCGGGATGCGACGCAGCTTCCGCCCGCCCTGCCGCCGCCGCGAAACAGATCGCGCTTTACGCCAGGTAATTATCCCGCATACGACACTACTGATAACTATAAGATCGGTTCATTGATTAAGTTGTTTTAATTTATTAACTTCTCCCTGACATTTAATGACATCCTAAATATATGGCTTCTTAACTTAGATGATTTAAAACAAAAAAGTTTTTTGTAGGACATTTTTTTTTCATTGAAATAAATAATGACTAGTCTGTGAAGTGCTATAGCTACACTATCTTAAGTCGTGGGTTCGATTCCCACATCTCTAACATACTATTATTGGACCCGGTATGGCTGAAACAAAGGGCAGGATTGTGATCCGCCACCCATCACACAACAACTTAGCCTTAACATAAAAAGACAGTATTGAACGGCGTAAGAGTATACTACATACTCTTTATCCCGCAAAATTATATCCGAAAAAATCGTGAAGCTATAAGCAAAAGAATTTATATCAGTATATTATATTGGAAGAGTAAATATTTCATACCGTAATAATTTTAAGAAAACGCGTCGCGTAAGTCGAAGCCCAAAGGACTTAATTTCCGTAAACAAATATTAAACAGAAATGAACTGTTCTTAAGTTTTGTTATGAGAAATGTTTGATAAACGAGGTAAAAGCAAGCATCTATGGCTTAGATTAGAATATAAAAATTACAAATAAAAATAAAATGCTAAATCGTCAAAGCGAAATAATCGCTATTTTGTTAAACATAATTGATATTTTTATTTAGACAGCTGGTCTGATTTACACGAGACTTCAAAGTAAAGACAAATTATGTATATAAAATATATAGACAAACGTTCTGTAATGTTTATTGATCTATACAGATAAATAAAATTGAAGTGTTTGTTTGTAATATAAAAATAACAAATTTTTACTAAATGCATATGAAATTATATGTAGTAGGGCAAATACTTATAAGAAAAACACAATTTAAAAAAAAATTGTTTGTTTGTTCCGGCTAATCTCTGAAACGGCTGGACTGATTTTGAAGGGACTTTCACTGGCAGATAGCTGATTTTATAAGGAGTAACTTGGGTTACTTTTATATTAGAAAAAGATTTAAGATATCGCTTAAAAAAATTAAAACGCATGCACCCGAGCGCAGCAAGGCTAAGTCTCTAGTATAATTTATAATCATAGAATATATCACAAAACTTAGGTCTACTTTCATAATCTATGCACGCCAAGCTTTAGTAAGAGCTGTATCGTTCCTAACTTATAGTATGTAGAAGCAAAGCCTAATTATTATTTAGTTTAAGAAGCAAATTGTTAAGTGACTGGCGCTCATGTCGTTAGTTTTCTAATTTTATGAGCTTGTGAACTTAACCGACTTTTAACTGACAGACATATTTTTACGTAACAGTCTAAAGAGTTTAGTGTATATGATAGGTTTAGTTAAACATTTATTAGCAAAAATGCTCGAACGTTATTTTTTACTAAGAAGAGAGTTTTCAATAAACACTGCATGAAGCTGCATCAAATGAACAAAATTTATTGACCCTAATATGTAATTTACTCTAACCTAACTATAATCTATACTAATATTATAAAGAGGTAAAGTTTGTAAGTTCTATTGCGAGAACTCTCTGGATCTACTCACCGATTTATATGAAATTTCGTAAGAAGAAGGACAAAAGATACTTTTTATCCCGAAAATTATCCCTTAACCCCTTTAAGGAGTGAAAATGGGAATAAAAGTTTGTATGTGAAGCAATCTAGGGATGAACCCGAGCGAAGCGAGTGTGAGTCGCTAGTATAATTATAATAACGTCCTTCTGAACTTAACTATGCAACAATGCTAAACAAACTATGCGTAAATAGCAAACAACAAAAGTTTCGCGTACACAACCGTAGAGTTACACGTAAATTGTTATTTTATTTGCATACAAACCTCATTCATAGACTAAAAGTAAACTTTTAGATACTGTTTCGCAAGAATTTGGACAAAATCAAGTTGTTTAAACGAAAGAAATTCAATATTTTCAGGGGTATCGGCGTTGTATCTGACGACCACCCACGCCATGATTTCACTCATTCAATTATTGTTTTATTATAAAATCGCCCTACTTACCCAACTTGTCGGTAAACATTAATTAGGCAGTTTATTAGATGTAGAAAATTATCGCACTTAGGACGATTACGGATAAAGTTAAATACAAAATTAATTAAAGGTTTTATGTTTAGAAATATATTAAAATAGTCTTTAAAATGATTGAAATTTATAAATTATGGATTCTAAATTTACGCTCGGGTTCGTCCCTAGGTACATTTTAATTAGTAAGGAATAGATAGACTTTATATCCTATGTCCTTCCTAGTGTCTCAAACTATCTTCATACCAAATTTCATCTAAATCGGTTCAGTAGATCTAGTAATCGAGTAATCTTACTCCCAACAACGTTACAAACTCACAATTCACAAACTTTCCCTCTTTATAATATTAGTATAGACAAACAAACTCATAAACTTACAAACTTTACCTCTTTATAATATTAGTGTAGATACAAATTAATGATATTTGCATTTATATTTAGAGTAGGAGATAAATCCCGGGACTAGTAATTCGAAACTGTTTTTTTTTTATTAATAAGAAGTTTCTTTAGCTTTAATGAATATAGGCTACTTTTAATCTGGTACATTAAATGGTTATGAGATTTTCATATTATGGGTATTTCTCCGAGATTGCGTTCTTCGTCTGATTTATCTGCCCAAAAATTATTTTCATTTTTAGCTCTATTCAACATACTCTTATGATTAAAGACATACTAAATAATATTTGGTGATACTTTTTAGTGCGGGAAAATATTTCATCTCTGAGAAATCTATACTAACCTTAAAACGTAACGTAACGAAATATATATACGTTACGTGAGTCGCTAGTATTAAATTATGGTTCTCCAATAATAGACAGATACCGTATGTTCCTTATAATCGTTTATTGATGTGAAATTCAGCCTATAGTTAAAATATACATTTTTAAACTTCCTTACGCACAACCTGCGTCCTCTCTCACTTTTTATTAACCCACCTCTATTTTTTTTATTATACCCTTATATTTTATTAATGTCAAAATTTATAATTTATAATCATAGCTACCTTCAATTTATTAGAATCAATATTACAAAAATGAGTACAATAATAAATTATAATAAATAGTGTCGTTAACACTAGTAGTTTAATAGTAGCAAATTAAAATTAATATAAATAAAAAAATTAAAACTAAGATGTGTGTTCTCTGAATGTCTCTCGTTATTACATTAAACAAGAGAAGTGAAACAACAAATCATCAACCAGAATAATTTATTACATTGGTTGATTCCCCATACAAACTTTCATCCCCATTTTCACCTCTTTAAGGCATTATTTCTGGGATAAAAAGTATCCTATGTCCTTCCTAAGGTCTCAAACTATCTTCTTACCAAATTTCATCTAAATCGGTTCAGAAAGATCCAGAGATTACCCCTTACAACGTCACAAACTCACAAATTTACCTCTATAATATTATTATATTAGTATAGATTTTGTATTTTTATCTATAAGTAATAGTTGTACCGTAATTTAGTTCTGTTGTAGCATAATAAAAGCAGGTAGCATGTCAGTATTGCGCTAAGTAGTTAAACTTTCGGTCCAGACTAAATTCGCAGACTCGTTGAGACGAGACTCATGAATGCGTGAACAAGTGCTACATACCTACTCGTACCACTTAAATAGTGCACCACTACTTTATCTTACTTTGAGATGTACACATGGAAATAAGTTATTTTGCTTTCCATTTACGTATATCCATTTTTAATGCTATTAATATATACAGAGCTTTATTACACATATATTTCTAACTTATAAAACTTCGCATTAATAAATTTTCATCATTGTACATATTATATTAAACATTTGGTAACCAAATCTATACAGATAAATACACTTGAAGTGCCTGTTTGTAATATCAAAATAAGAGCTTTTCATGCATTTATGCATTTAGCGTTTACGGTACTACCTACTAAGAAGGAAACAATTTACAACTATATTTATTTAGTTACGGCTAATCTCCGAAACGGCTGGACCGATTTTGACGGGACTTTTACTAGCAGACAGCTGATGTTATAAGGAGTAAGTTAGGCTACTATTATTTAAAAAAAGAGTCATGGTTCCGTGCAAAAAAATAAAACACATGAAATTGTGAATAAATCCGCGTACCTATCCCCACCCAAGCGAAACTAGGGTAAATAGCTATTTAATATATATAATAAAAGTTAAAACATATTTATTATTATTTATAAGTACAAAATTAAATATGAAGAAATAATGACAGGAGTATAAAAGTAATAAAATTGTTATTTTATCTAAATTATCTCTTAATAAAATTTAATATATCTTCATACAACTTAATCATAATAAAAGCCTGCACACACTGCAGACTTTCTATAAGGCGATAGTTTAGTTAACAAAAGGTCTGCAGTGTGCAAGGGTACTAACACTCCACTCCATTTTGCGGCAAGTTTTAGCAATGTTCTGCATATCCCTATAGTTTTAGTTCATATGTTAACAAACTTAACTTAAGTGGATTTATGGTATATTTATGGTACCTATTTATACCTGATTTATGGCATAGCAAGCAGGTAAACTCACACTAGATATGCCAACATCAAGAAAAAAATGTTGTTTTAATACATTTTTTTTTCATAATTGCAGATATGGGGATTTTATGATAAGAGATTAAAAAATATGTATATTTAGTAGGTATAGACTTGTATAACGTCTGCTATTTGGTAATCTTGACCATTCAAAAGGTTTTTTCTGTTTTAGTACATTATAAGTATATAAATTATAAAATAAGTTATTTTTGTACGTTAGTCTTAATACGCATTAAATATGGTATACCTACATTTGACCACCCATGATGGTGGTCTAATGTATAAAACTCGATTTAAATTTCTTCTCAAAGAATGGAATTTAAAACAACACTACACAATAAACATACGAAAGTAATTAACATTTAAAAAAAAACATACTCGTATTATTTATTATATCCCAAAAACCGGTATTGATATGTCAGTCTTTGTGTCTGGGTTAAAATATTAAGTTTCTATATAAATTAATTTCCAACTAGAGGATTTTAGACAATGATACTTGATACTTTTAGCAAAAACGATATTTAGAGTTTCACATTTTAACCTTTACACGTACCGTAACTACTAAATTAACTGAAATCAATGACTAATAAAACAAATTTAAATTGCTAACCAAAATATTATACGAAATGTTTATTTTGCACTGTGTCTTTCTATTATTACCTACTCCATTACTTCTTGGGGTGGAGTAGCTAAAACAACTTTAAAACCGCTAGAGGTCGCACATAAAGCGATATTGAAGGTAAGTACCTTCCGCCCAATTTTTTTTCCAACCATACAGCTGTATAATGAATGCAACGTTCTTAACGTACGCCAGCATTTTATTCTACAAACGATTCTTCTGCAGCACCGCAAGACTCCCTACAGAAAAATTAACAAACGTCGCAAAGACAAAATCTGTGCACTTCCACGAGCACGCTCAGCATTCTGTAAGAGATTTTTCTATTATTTAGGGCCATCTTTATACAATAAGATTAATCAAAAATGTCCAATATTCGGCTTATCCTACTACAACTGCAAAAAAAGTGTTCGTTCTTTCCTACAAAACAAAACCTATAACGAAACAGAAAAATACCTAACTTAGACGTATAAACTCAAACACACACATGCACACACACACCCACACTCATACACACACACACACACATGCACACACACATTCACACACATGCACACACACATTCACACACATACCACACACACACACACACACACACACACATATTCATCCATTTTCATTTTCATTTATTTACTCAGTTATCAAGTTAATGTTACTACTAACGATAGAACCTAGTATTGTAATTAGTTGATAGTATAAATGAAAACATATTGTACGGTACATAAATATACTGGTAAATATCCAAAGGGGAACGGGACTGTTACTCCTTAATACATATTATTTTTATAACCTAGCAAGGAGTACAGTACTTCACCCAACCGTATGAAATTGATTTGTACAAGCCTTTACTGTAAAAAATTACTATGTTCTATGTTCAATTTCCTTATTTATGAATAAAGTTATTATTATTATTATTATTATTAAATTGACTTTATTGCATTAGATGCATAAGCTTTTAAGCAAAAACATTTTTTTTACTGTCAATGAAATAAATATTATTTTCATATCTTACTAGCGACTCACGTTTTCACTTACGGATTTTTTACTCTTCACGTTACGTTTTAACGGTTAGTATGGAATAGGTAGACTATATATTATATATACACTACCGACTCACCCTCGCTTCGTTCGGGTTCGTCCCTAGGTTATGTAAACAACTTCCCTATTAGGATCGGATATTATTAAACTTTTCATTGGTTTTAATTTTTTTGTGGGACCCTATTTATTTTTCTAAAATAAAAGTAGCCTCAGGTACTCCTTATTACATCAGTTATCTGCCAGTGAAAGTCCCGTCAAAATCGGTCCAGCCATTTCAGAGATTAGCTGGAACAAACATACAGACAAACAGACAAAAATTGTAAAAAATGTTGTTTTGGTATATGTACCGTGTATACATCCTTATGGATTTACTAAAAAGCTGTTCTTTTGACATTACAGACACTTCAATTTTATTTATCTGTATGTAGAGGTACAATATTAACAGTTGTTCTTGTCACAACAGTTTTGTGTCTTTTCGATTTTCCAGCTATTTTTTTGGGTTTTCTCTATTTTTTTTATACTTAAACCAACCCTGACATACACACCACCAACAAAACAAAAGGAATTACTCAAATTAGTCCAGCCGTTTTTGAATTTTAGCGAGATTAACGA